ACTTTACAGCCCAATGTGCCCTCACCCAAAAGAGAAAAGAAAGGGTTAAGAACACTTTACCCAGGCATGCAAAACTATACTCACCTTTTTACAGTAGGATTCCAACAGTCACACAGCTTCAGGGAACATCTCCATTGGTCCTGTGAAAATTAACCAAAAAACTAGGAAGGGGAACAGGCCTGTCACAGAACTATTGGGTGGCCATCCCACACAGCCTATTAGATCTATTCAAAACTCTCTGGGGCCCCCTTTGCTTTGCTTTTCCTACCAAAGCATCTGATATACAATTCTTGAGGCTCTCTGGAGAAGTCAGGAAAATGCAGGCCAGAAAGAGTATAGCTACAGGAGAACAGAATAATCCAAAACACAATCCTGGATTGTGCTAATAAGGCATCAGGAGGCTGGGTGATACTTGGGATAAGTGGCTTCAAGAAGAACAAAAACTCTAGCCTTGTTTTGACATGATCCAGGATGCCAACACTTAGGGCACTCAAAACACAGGACAGGATTCTGTCCCGGTGGCTAAGAGGACCTGAAATGGAAATCAGTAGTCAAAGGAGCTATATGGGTCCTTTTGTACCAACAGACTTCATAATACTTCTATACAAGGACTGCCATATTGCAACAGACCCAGGGTTTTCCTATTCCTGTACCCTGTCTCCAAGAGGCCAATGCTAGTTGCTACAGAAAACACATAAATCTCCATATAAAGCACCAAACTGTTACCTGCTAGAGCTGAGGATCACGTGCAATTTCCTCCTGACCTCAGTGGACTCATTTGATATACTATATTGACATTTTTAATGATGTGACTGCTGGTGCCATCAAGATACTACTTTTTGAAGCTTTCTAAGACGTTTGATGAATACGCTGTGGCAGAAAGTTATATTGGTTGGTTATACTCATGTCTAAGAATACTTAAATCATTTAAAATACTGTTTTTAAATTCAGTGCCCGCTAGTTTTTGTATTACAAGGAATAGCAATAATTCCTGATAGATGCTATTTTGCCAGTACACCTTTTTTCCTTACCTATTTTCTGATTCTTCAAATTAAGCAGCACAAACTAGTCTCAATTATTCAATTCCTCTCCCCAAGGAGTCCCTCACCCTTCGATTTATTTTGTTGCCTTTCCAATTTTGCTTTTTCCTATTTGATATGAGACCAGAAATTAACCTAAATACCAAGATAAGAATTCCCAATACCTCCTATTTATTTAGCAGCTGTTATTGAATATTCCATATTTTTCAGATGACCCTCTTGCATTTCTGCATTGGTGAGTATTCTATTTAGGTCCCTCTTTTTGAAATGCTTGGCCCTGTAGCTTAAAAAAGGTGGACATCAATATAGCATTACATAAATGGCAAGACTAGTACCTACCTCATGCTATTCTCCTTTGCCCTTCCTCTCCCCAAAGAGAAACAGTGCATGAATTAAAAAAAAAGTTAAGTGCTATGTGCTGAATATACTGACTACACACCTTTGCTAATCAGCAATTTATGTATTCATTCAACTCCAAATCCATCAGTGCATGAGAAAGAAGATTTTTTTTTTTTTAACATGTTCTGAGCTGTATTAGTTTAGTGTGGAATTTCATAAGCTGCCCAGTTGTATAGCTTTGTTAGCTACTTGTGAAGTCCCTCAATGGCCAGACTTGACTAACTTAAGTCATATTTTTCTCATTAGCAAATTTTATAAGGTCTCGAATTCACCCTTAACTGATAAAACAGAGACCTGCCACTTCTCTGTGAGGACTTCATCAATCTCTTTCCATGCTAAAAAACAAGGGACATACTGTTCAACTAAACCTTTTTGTAATCTTTTCCAAAACCCTGTATGTTACTTACTGCTACCAGTTTTCATCCTTAATACACAAACAAGTTTGGGAGAAATTAAACAGACTATGTTTATTTTGGGGGTAAGATTAACCTTTATAGCTAGTTATACTGAAATGCGCCCCCCTCTCTTCCCCTCCCTCTCTTGTGTCAAGAAAAGAATATGCAAAAATCAGGGATTGGTAACAGAGCCATTAGATTGGACCTGTGGATGTAGAGCTTGGGCAGCATTTGGTGTCAGGAAGAAGTGATAGCAATGCATGCTTTCCCTGTTTCATGGTAACAGCCTGGTCTTAGTCCCTGCCTTCCCCTGACCTGAACAAGGTCATTGTGGTTCACAACCTGAGTTCTTTTCAAAAACAAAGTGAAAACTAAGAGCTTGCATTTTCTGAGAGGTGCCTTGAGCTTAATGGGGGGGTGTCTTGAGTCTAAAAAGTTTGAGAACCTTTGGGCTAAATCTACAGGGAGTCAGATCTGAAAGCTGACTCTTCCCACATACATTCACAGATGTTTTAGATATCTGATACCAATGCCTGAGGCTGTAATGTAGCAATGCCTAGACTGCTTGGTATGAGCAAAGGAAAGCTTGCCACTTTACGGCGTTTCCCTCGCTGCACTATTTTACAGAAATTTAATCCAAGTTCTGCAGCAACATTCCTTCATTTCAGCCACACTCCAGTAAAGCACACTGATGTTTGCAGCATCAGGTAAATCTTTGTCATTCAAACATTGCTCTTCAAAGTGAAGAGATGGTTTTGCCTGACTTGGAGCCCCTGTGTATTCAGTAAGGCTTTTATAATTCCTTTTTCCTTTGCAGGAAAGGAATAATAGCCCTGTTCTAAGACAGGGCTGTCCAACTTCTAGGCAGCCAGGAGATGCACAATAATGCACGGGCCACAATAACAGAGGCTGCATATTGCGGGGGCCATAGGCCCCATAGTTTGCATGCTAGGTGCACAGGCACCCCTCCTACCCCACTGCCTCCTATGCCTCACCTTCAGCTCTCCACCAGCTACCTCCCCCTAGCAGCACAGGCTATGCTGAATTGCCCCCAGGAGCGTGAAGTTGACACTGGGGGAGTGCTGATACTGCAGCAGCTGCTCCAGCCACAGCAAAAGCAGCAGCAATGACTGGGTGGGAGCGGCATTTTATCTCCTCAAAGGCTGCCAGTAGGACAGCACTGTTTTAAGATGAGAGAGAAAGGCAACTCCCTACCCATCCTGAAATTGTGAGACAAATCAAGTCAGAACGGACAGGTAATGCAAACAAACACAAACAAAGCCCTTCCCATAATTCACCCCTCCTCCTCAGGATCTGGAATAAGGAATCCAAGACTTAGATTTAGGACTTCCAAGTCAAGGCACTATGCTAGAGTTATGCTCAAAGAGAGGACCAGTACAGCAGATAAACTGTTTAATGCATTTCTCTGTAAACTATAGCTAAAGACAAAATAAAATGTGTACTGTTTCATGAAAGGGACCTGTACACAGTTCTCCCATCAACATGCTCTCACGGTGTTCTTTAGCAGCTGTTACTGTTCCAGGTCTGCCCATCTCAACAGCAATTTCAGGTCCCCTCCATTCTAAGCCAGAGCACATGCTGCTATTCCAAACCCTCAGAACCTGAACAAGGATTGTCATTTGTTACAACACATTTCCTAGGGACTAGCATAAGAAAATAGATGTAATTTCTCCTGTAACAAACCACTTTAACCTCCAGAGGTTGGGGAAATGACTGAGTAGTAGTAATTCTCAAAATCACAGCTCACAAAACGCTTGCTTTCCACCTAATGCTATATGTCTACTTGTCATTCACAGCCAACTCCTGTTCTTCACTATAAAACACTGAAAATGCAGGATTCAAATTAATTTTCTGTCCAAAAAATGAAGTCTATATTTATTAATTTGTCAAGCAGAGTACTTCCCACGGGGATGGTATGGTGTGCAACAAGGACATCTGGAGCAAGGCACCGTCCATGAGACCCTTACCTTCAGTGACCCACAAACCGACAGACCTCGAAGTGCCACTACAGCCCAATGCAGCAGCACTTTAAACCCAAAAGCATGGAGATTCAGCCTCATCCCCTCATGTCCAAAAGTTCCATTAGTAGGCTAAAGCTATATCACCTGAACATCCCCATCACCATACACAATTACTCTGAACGCCACCCAAAGCTGGCAAGAAAACAGAGGAAGTTGCAAGTGACACCAGGGAGCAGAATAACCCCTGAAGAGAATGGAACAAAGAAGAGAGGTTAAAAAAAGCCAACATCTATTGCCATCTGCAGTCAATTACTCACAGGATATAAGTATCATTGAGAAAATAATTATTTGTCAAACAAGATCCATAAACAGCTCTGAAAAGGTTGCTTCATGATGTCTGAAGACTACCTGAAGAGTTCCCCCTGTACAAAGACCACCCCAAGCTGTGCGTTAACTTACAAATATCAAAATGTAAAATCTTGTCTTCTCTGGTTTAGTTAGGCAGCCTGGTGGGAGATGTAAAGAAAAAATAATTCACAAAGGACATAACATTTCAACCGAAGAGGAAAGGGTGACGCTTTAACAAAGTTCCTATATTCAAAACAGTAATTGTTTATATACTGTATAACTATACAACTCTAAATAGTTTCACAAAAAGTTTCCTTCCCCTCTTAACAACTTAATTTTTAGCAACTTGCTTTCTTGTGACATCACCATTTGCACTCTCTCCAGGGTCAGGCTAAAGAAAATCAAAATTTCTAATGCAAGTAATACAATAAAAGGATTCTGAGAAACCACACCAACTCTATACACCCAGTAAAAAAGGAAAGGGAAAACAAACCAAAAGAAAAACACAAATGCATTTTGTGCCTCTAGACAGGTTCACCTTCAAAGATAAAGGGTACTAGGTTGGGCAAGGGGTTAAAAAGGAGAACGATGAAGCAGGCAAGCCTCTGCTATTTTTTGCTAACCCTGAATGAACTCAGGACCTTCTCAAGCCTTCACTAACGTCAACTGGAGTCTTTATTGACTTCAACGTGTATTTTACCAGGCCTCTATTGGTTAAGCTCATTCCTCAAGACCTTCATTCTCTCAACTGTTATATGAGTTTCAATGTCTGCTTCATGATTAAGTCTGTTAAAATGAAGTACTCGTTTACAATAAAAAAAATATCTAGAGGAAAGTATTTTTGATCACAAGTTTATTTTTAAATGATTTACAAATAAAAATGTTAGATTTATCCAAGCAAACATTAAATGTTTTAAGTCTCTGACACACTGTACAATGAAAACCATCATACTACAGGTTTTAATGGCTCAAGGACCATTCAGGGTGGGTATGCATGTATCTGTGTCACATGGGGCGAGTCCAATTTCTGAGACCAGGGTTCAGATCTTCTGCTTCTTCATGAACTGGGCAGCTGCTAAATGATTTAACACAAATAGTTACTAAATCACAATACAATGAAAGAAAGGCTATTTCAAATCATGTAAGTGACCTCAAAATGTCTGGTCCAGGTGTCAGGCCACAGAGCCTTACCGATTAGTCTTCTTCTCCAAAAGTGAGTCGGATAGATTTTCTTCCCTTGCTTAGTGAGGTGGCATCCATAATACAATACAGCACGAGACATTTGAAGTACAGATGTAATACAACAACATAATTACAAACCACAGGACATGAAACCATTCAAAAGGCAATTCTATTAACAAGTTCTGCATTTCAAACAATGAAAGCAATCAAAATCATGCATTACATTTTAAAGAAATTATCAGTTTTAATTCTTCGGTAAGAGTCTCCATTTCCTTATGTTCTGAACAGGTTTCTTGAGCTTGTCACACAGGCCAGCCTAGTTGAGGAATGCTACTGATAGAAACAGCATGAACTGGAAAGTGTCCCAAAATGATAAAGAATAAAAGCCAAAAAATAAACAACCAAGACACACGCATTGTAGGTGAGAAATTCCACTTTAATGGCAGAGTATAGAAAAGAAATTGGCAAAATTTCACAGGAAAGACATTTTACACAATTCAGTATGTACAGAATAAAGTGTGTGTCTGGTTTTGGTAAAATATGCTTTAGCATTAGTCAATATCTATTGTAGGATGCAAATACATCCAACATATCAAACCGAAACAGAACCAAAAACATATTTATATATACACATATATAAACAAAACTTCAGCCAGGGCTCCTCAAATATTGGGATTAGCTGGGTTCATTTCCAAACTACTGTCAGCAATTTCCATTTTCACCCAATCCACCCTCCTTTCCAGGTGTGTCTTTGAGCTTAGGAAGAGGAGTTTCAATGCACCCAGCTGCCTGGCTTTCCACACTGTCTCCATCACAACTCAACAATGGCATTTCAGTAGCAACAGCAGTGCCATCTTTGCTCTCCTCCACTTGCAGAAGGATCTCAGACATTGGAGGCATTCCCTGAACATCTAGAACAGGCATGCCTATCTCTGTAGTATCACTATTTGATGATCGTGACTCAAGGTGTGGGACACCTGTTTCAGAGATTAGGGTACAAAACTTTTCTTCTTGATCACCAGAAGTTAATGCAACAAAATCAATGATTTCTGGTTCATCCACTGGCTGCTGAATGCTCAGTTCACCGGTTTTACTGGACTCCAAACCAATGGATGTAATGGTTTCTAACTTTGGAACATCTTCGGTATCTTCACTAAGATCTGTAAGAATACCCAGATGTGCACGTTCCACTTCTATGTCCCCCAAACTGAAATCAATGCTTTCTAATTCCAACTCTGTTTTAAGGGTAGAAGTACCACTAGACTTTACATCTTCTGGCTTTAAGGAATCTCCCTCATTTTCCATGTTAAAATTTAATGAGAGAGTTTCGGACTGTTCAAAATTAAATCCTGAATAACTGGTGTTTAAGTCAAAGTCATTGGCTGATGTGGCTTTTAAGATTTCACAGTTCATTTCAATGCGGGGGACACTGCCCTCTCCAAGGGGTCCCACACTAAAGTCTGTGGCAAGGGCATCATTCAGTGACCCTTGGACCATACCAGATTGAGTAGAAAGGTCTACAATCCTCCTCTCTTCTGAATTTCTCTCTGCAATTAAATCATCTATCTTTTCATCTGATTCAGTTCCTCCTGAAGTGTTATTTTTAACACTAAACAGTTTTAGACTGGTGTTGGCTTCAACAGTATTTGTAATACAGGTGCTGGCTAACTCTGCGACTCCTTGCTTCTGGGACTGGTGGACTGCACAGCTTGAAAGTTCATGCCTGCCCTCTTTTTGTAACACTAATAGGCTATTTGTTATTTCTACATTGGTGAGACTTGTGTCTGATTTCATCTCTGTTGATTCTGAGATGGTGACTTCACTTGAATCACTTATTTCTACTACTGGGGCATCTGGTAGTTTCTGACTACTTGTTGACTGAGAACAATCCAAAATGACCTGTACCTTTTCATTACTAGTTTTGGATAAAACCAATTCATCAGAGCATGTTGTCAATTTTGAAACAGTATTTTGTATTTCTAAAATCTGTGGGACTTCATCAATGATTTCTGACCGAAACCTTTCTGAGTCAGTATTTTCCTGTTTCACCTCTTTTAAGGAAGCGTTATTACAACTCTGCTCTCTCATCTTTGCTACTGGAATTTTTTTCTTCCTAACTTTAGCTGATGGCCCTTGCAATTTTGGAATCAATTTACTCTTAGCATACGGCACATCTTGCCCATCAATTTCTCTATTAGTTTTACCGAAATCGTTGCTTAATTTTTCCTCTACTAAACTGTGATCTTCCACATTTTGCATTTCATGGTCTGCAGTAGATGACAGACCCCCAGAGTGTTCCAAACTAACTTCAGAGTGAGACCCTGTTAACTCCAAGTTTTTTATCTCTACATCTTTTTTCAAGGTACCAGATGCATCTGCTTTGTTATCCAGGGTATCGTCTGTCTGTCTGTCTCCAATTTTCTCTTGGACCTCATTTATTTGTGGGTCTTGGGGTACCTGGTTGACCATCTTTTCTACACTTGCTGCACCTAAGTGTCTCATTACCGAAGAGTTCTGACCAGCAGTATCAGTTTTAGTTTCTGATAATTTGGATATCTGAGACTCTATCGGCTTCTTGTTAATTTCTGCCTCATTCTCACAGGATATTGAAGTATCTTCTGCTAGAACTTTAGATTGCAAGGATTCCTCCTCTTTGGGTTTAGCCTGAATATCCAGTGTAAGAGTAGTTTGGGATTTGTGGTTCACCTCCTCCTGAACACTGTTTCGGATTTCAATGCTTTTTGTTTTACAAGTCTCCTGGACTTCCACCTTCTCAGGTGCAGAGGTCTTCTCTGCTTGGTGTACCTGACTAGCCTCTGAGTAAGTAACTACATGTTGTGATGTATTAATACTCTGTTTAGAGTTTGATGGCACATCTAAGTTTCTCTCTGTTTTTGCTAGATTAGAGTTTTCTCCATTTGGAACTAGGGAAGTTGAACTTGCAAGTTTGCCATCAGCTGAATTCTTTCCACCACTACTGTAAAAGATACCATAAAGATCTTTAGCATTTGCTGTGGCCAGGCAAGAGTTCCTTTTCTCTATTTTTTTAGCCTGGTCACTAAAAACAGTAGAAAATGGTGGTGGAGGAGGGCGCACTGGCATTGCCAATATGGGCTGTTCGCTCTCAGACACACCTGGAGCCACTTCATCTGCTGGGATGACAGCTGTCTGCTTGGGTGGGG